GGATATGCGATACAACAGTGAGGTGGAATTAAACCAGCGGAGCGTAAGTATTATGTAACAGGAGCGGCAGAAGGAGGATTAGAAAACTGAGCTGCACACTGGGCTGCAAACTCTATTTGCACTCTTAATATTGGCAGGAAGATTTTCCAGCTTCTATCAATTCCGAATGGCAGTGTTTCTTTTTAAATGAGACACCCTGAGTTTGCCAGCGCGGGGCAGGCTAGGGAGGGGTCTCTCTCTCAGTTGCCCTGTGTGTTTGGGTGCTGCCGGTCCGAGGATCTTGGGAAGCAGCACTGCAGCCCAGCATTCCCTGGCAGGAATCTGCATTAGGACAGGAACATATTGTGCTGTGGAAATGCATCACTTAATATCACATTTCTCGTGTTTTCTTCTGAGCAATTTGTTTCCTTAACTTTGGAAGAGATTCACAGTAATTGCTGTTGCTGTGACTGTTTCACAGCCAAGCGAAAGATACAGTTCAACACTAACAGCCCCCTATGCCAGTAGCGTGGGGAAAGGCTGCCCTTAGATTCTCAGAGTGACTTAGACCTACTACCTTTACTTAATGGTTCATATTAGACATTAAACTGTCTATGAATTGTTCAGTTGGAAGTTCATCTGGCTGTCCGTAGATGTCTGGCAGGCTGTGGGAGTTACTGTATGTCCCTCCTCTTTCAGCTGTTCAAGCCGGATTCAGGTGAGCATGTGTTTAGCGTTGGTCTGTTTTGAGTGTAAAGTTGCGCATCTGTCTCCGTGTCTCACTCGTCACACTGTCCTTCGCTGTTGAAGTTCTCTGGGCTTAACATCTCGGGGGCGTGAGGCGCAAGCGCCATGGCATGAGTCTTATCAAACTGACCCTGACAAATAAGGTGGTAATCTGGGATTTGTAGTGTCCTGCTAATAAACCTCAAATTCCTGCTCAACTACTTAACAAAAACTACACCTGTGAAACAAACAGATCATTAATGGAGATCTGTACTTTCTGGGTATTACCTCCTACAGATTCTGCAAGGAAAACTTGAACTGGTTTGGATACAGTGAAATTTCACTCTCTCTCAACTGGTGCTCATGAGCAGTGCCCTGGTATTTTGGCTCAGCCTTTTCAGGTGTACTTCACTGCAGTATTTCTGCTTAAGGGAAATATGTCTTTATTGAGTTTAGACCTAGGATAGCAAACACGTTTCCCAGTATGAAGGAAGGTGTGATCAGGAGATAGCATGGAGAAACAGATCCACTCAGCAGATCATGGCACGCTGCAGCTCTTCTTGGACTGCAGGGCTAAACGCTTGGCTATCCTTGAGATACCACAGCAGTGCAGTAGGATTTATAGCACAGATGGCTGAGGTTCAGCGCTGTGCAAAGAAATTAGCTGGATGCCTCCAGGATGTTCGAGCAGCAGCAGGATTTCATCAGTGACAATGTGCCAATAACACTTACAATAAGAGTGGGCCCTCTGCTGTTCGGGGTTTGTATGGTGATCGGTTTTGAAGCAGTACAGGTGCTGCAATGCCTCCTGTACTTTGAGGACTGACTGCTAAGCCACAGAACGATTGGTGGTGAGCCACCGTGGTGGTGAGCTACTATCCTAAGGCTGGGAAAACGCACCAAAAGCATTCTCTTCTCCCCACACTTCACATTCCAAATACAACCACGTTCTGAAAAATTACATGATCAAACCAAACTGGTAATGAAAACATCAATGTGTGTTCTAGAAGTTTCCTTTGAAATGGAAATTTCCAGTGTAACTATTGAAATTCATTAATGTAGCAAAATGTCATCTATTCTATTCCACACTCTATGCCCAAACTGGAATAAACCTCTTTACCCATAATTCTTTGCTACTTCGTCACGAGAAGAATTTCCAGTGGAATCATGGGAAATCTGCGTATTCAAATGAGACAACAACCCCCTGTCTTGTGTACTGAGACATTCAGCAGATGGGTCTCTCAGCATTGCAAAAACAAAATATTGCTTTCAAACCCTTTATGTGTTTCAGTGGTTTCTATGAATACCAAACAAGAGCATGAACATATTACCATTACATAGTACATTCATTTAACATGACAGGAGTGTCTGTCTCTAGAGTGGGAGATGAATATCACATAAATAATATATCATTAATACTTCCACCGCCAATCAAATGCTCAAAAAACAACATGGATTGATTCAATTTCTTTCAAGTCAATATTTTTCAGGTTAAAAGACGTCAAGTTAGGTCAAAGGCTATGTAATAACTGGAACACATTAGTTTCTCCTTTGTGCTCCACTGTCTGGTTGAGTACATCCAAATGACTGTCACTTCCAATACACATATCAGATTGGTGTCCAGGGAAAATGTTTTTTTCAGACCAAGAAAATGTGTATATTTGTCTAAAGACAATATTAAACTGGATTCCTCTAAGGAACAATACTGGAAGACTTAACACAAAAATTACAAATGCAATATAAATTAGACAGACAGGCACAAATAACCAAGATAAACACAAAACAAAATCTTTGAGCATTTGTTTCTTTAAAGACACATGCAGTTCGTTGCTGTAGAAGACCCTACTTGTACAAGAGGACCTGTATAATGAAACCAGTGTTCCACACAATTATGTCAAGCTGTTTCAATATTTAGATCCTGCATTTAACTGAAAAATGAAACAAAAGAGACATACGATTTGCTTCTTATCTGATTTTTTTAAACAAGGTTTTTCCTGCAGTACAGAGCTGTTTCTCATTCCCAGCTTCTGTAATTAACCATTTTTACGGAGCAGCTGGGACTTGAAACTGTCAGAGTCCGGGTCAGAGTGAACCTGCTGTGCCTTTGGATTGTAAGCTGTCACATGGCAGTCGCCAGGCGTGGTGCGAATGTCTGTTCGAGAGCCTGGGAGAGGCACGCCGGGCCCTGCAGGGTCCGGGCACACACACTGGCAGTGAACAGAGCAGATGAGCTTGTGCAAACATGCCGACCAGGAAAGAGTCCAGCAGGGAGAGGCACCCCTCAGGCATCTTCCAGTCTCAGCCTCCCGACCCCACCAACCAACACCGTTCTCCCCCCTGCACCCATCCCAGAGCAGATCAAAATATGCCGTGGAGATTTTGCTGTAGGTGAATTTTAAATAATCACTTTCCATTGTGGACTTTCAAAAGCCCGGGAGGTCAAGTTCCTTAAAGGATTTCCACAGGCTTGAGAGTGAATGTGTTCCCCGGTAAAGCCATTCGGTGACAGCGATGATGATATAATGGGACCTCCAGGAGGAGCACAGAACCTGACTCGTCTCCTGGCTCCAGACTCCTGCTGCTTTGTTCTAAGAGTTGAAAGGCCACCATAGAGAAGAGGATTTTTAAAATTATGATTAGATTCTTCCTTAAGACATACTGTATATCTAGTCGCATGGCCACAAATACAGAACTGCTTAAGTAAATTCGATAAAACCTCTTTTTTTATAAAATTGGACATCCACTACTTTTTACATCTGTGAAATCTCAGTCCTTCCTTCCGCACCACTCTCTCTTTCTCTCGTCTCGCCTGGGGCAAGACCTACAGCAAGGGAAGACTGGACCTTATCTCTCTGCCCTTTTAATCTTAAGTGTTCCGTTTAGTTAAACAATTCAGGTGAGGTAGCTGGCTCAAGAGAACAACAGCAGTGTCTCACCTAGGATTCGAACCTGCAACTTTCCAGTCACGAGGCCAGAACCCTGACCAGTGCTTCATGAGGTAATGTTTCAGTCCTGCTTTAAGAAACATGTAAAGACTGTCACGTGCCAGCAAAGGACTATTTCTAAATCGGGGATTTAATGGAATAAAACAAAAACTGACATTAAATTCTGTAATTACACTATGATGGACTCTCTCAACCAATCAGAATTAGACTGTTTTGAGGGGGGGCCACATAACAATATGGGTTTCACTACATTCAGAGTGCTCGAAGGGTAAAAAAGAATTGTGGGTTTCCGTTTCAGGCCCCTGTTGAAATGTGTTTCTGTCAGCAGACAAGTTCGGTGGCCTGCCTGTACCCCAGATGGTGGTGTTTCCTAGATTACTTCCACCACCAATTTACAATGTATGATACAGGAAGTCCAACAAAGATGATTAGCAAACAGCTAGAACATCGTCATCTGTACCGGGCTCTGAGAGCATGAACTCTGCAGTCTGAATGTTTGGCTCCCAGGAAAGTGCTGCACTGCAGCAGAGTGACAGCTCTCAGACAAGGCCGAGGGTAGGGTAACCTCTCAGAGCCGGGAGGTGGAATAAACGCTGACTCCGGTGCTGCAACATCCTGCTAAATCATTTCTGGACGCGTTCAGTTACACAGGGTTCAGTCTCTGCACCTCCGTTTATGATTTTCTGACGCTAGTGAATTATACCAGGGAGCCTCTCCCAGAATGATAGCAATACAATTCCTTAATTGCCACTCGTGCACAGTACGAGAGAACTGGACCTCAGGGTTTGGGATGGAAGGGAACCCCAGCTATATTAGCTTTGACACTGGAAGGAAAAGGATATGAAATACAGCCATCTGAAACTGGAACTGCAGCGTGAGCCAAGGAAAGAGGCTGCAGTGAGCACATTTATTCAGGCTTGTGAAGACATTTATTTGGTTCGGAATAACACACTTGGGACAGTTTAAACCTAAGTTTAATTTTCCACTGAAGCTCAGCATTGAGAAATACCTTCATTATTTATTTTATCGATCGGAGAGATGTGCGTTCATTTACCTTCTTCCCTCCAATTCCAGCACAGAAAACGAATATAGAATTTTTTTTGAAAAAATCTGTTTTTTTAAAAAAGATTCCTTGGATGGCAAATGTCAAGGCTCTAAAAAAAGAAGGACGTTCAAGTACTCATTATTGCGAAGCTGGGTGACATGTCTTGTCTTGCAGACTCTGTGTAATTACAGGAGTGGAGAGCTAGCAAGCTCTGCTGGAGGAGTTCCTGCTGAGCAGCTTGAGGACAGAGCAGGATCCATTTCATCAGGATCTTTCATTTAGGAAAGAATGATGCAGAAACAACATTTATTCCAATATTCTTTTACTTGACATCATATTACATTCGTCAGTTGAATCAGATCTGAGCTAAATCAGCTTTAGATAGATGTATTTTTCTTCTCTGTTGGGTGAATACATTAAATATAATGGATGCTTTGGCATACAAATGGAACCAGTAAAACACGGGAAAGGAAGCTACTGTGCTTTCGATTGATAACTTTTTAATGCGACCATTATTTTTCCAGTTTATAAATATTTCTCTCTTAAATAACGCCTCTCTCAAGCTGTCTCAACCTTAAACATTTTCTTCAAGTATGAACAGCTACAAAACAACAAAATATACATATTGCAGTTTTTAACATTTCTGTAACAACTCACTGTAAAATATTATTTACTTAATAACACAATTCTAATAACGAATTTGTCAATAGCCTAAAATAACTATGATGAAAAGGTGATGAAAACCACATTCTTTGCTTCAACACAATAATCACATACAGGTGTACACATTGCTGTAAAACTCAACTATTTTTGGCCTTTACTTGTGAGTGCTACTGACCTAGTTTGGATGATTGTTCTTTAAAATTGCAGAGATTGCCAGTACTCTTTTTTTTAAATCATAAAACTTGACTTCACCTTGACTAACATTTCAAAAAGTAAACAATATTGGCAATGCAAATTAAATAAATATTATGAACATAAACATCACCAAATTTCAGCTGTAATTTCTAAGATCCACCAATAAAAATACACTTAACAAATTAAAGCAAAGCGTGATTAAAATGTATATGTCATGTTTTACTCCGCGCAGTACTCCTTCTCAGAATTAAATACAAGAATATTAGCTGCTGAATTGAATCCAAAACTGCAGTTCAGAATGATGAAGAATACAGTAGCAAAAAAACATATACCCAACCACAGAAAAACCAACACAACACTCCTATCTCAGGGGCTGCTGCTGCAAAACAGAACTCTCACCACTCACATTCATTTCTATTAAAATGAACTAACAGAGAAGATAAAAATTATTGTGAGTGAAACCAGGTGAGTTTGAATATACGAAATGTGTTGCTTTAAAGCCAGGAAACCTCAATAATTCCAATAACAGAATTCTGTAAGAGACAGACTCCAGTCTTGCATGATTCTCTGTAAACGGGGACATAGAAAGGTGGATTAACATTCCTTGAGATGTGCTTTTGTCTTTTCAAAGAACAGCGGAGATAAACTAGTAAAATTTCTTTACCCTGGCTTTTACCCTTTACTCCGGTCCTCTGCCAGATACAGAAACGTTTCTGCCCCCTACTATTCCTGCTTAACTAAAGCAAGAAAAATAACGATGCCTTATAATGAAGTCATGAGCAGTTTTACAAATAACCACTTAGATCTGGGCTCTACTATATATCGCTTCTGCCTTGTTTTCAGGTCCCCCGTTGTCAATGTTGTTAATGCAGTGAAAGCCGGTACGTGCTGAGAGCCCTTACCAACCTGATGTTTCTGGTTTCTGCCGTGCTGCTAACATAATTTCAGCACAAAGACAACTACTGCCTGCATAACTCTGACTTCCCCGGTGACTAATTTCTTCCCTAACAAAGCCTAAGACATGACAAAATAAAACGCGAATGTGAAAAAATTACAACAGCCCTTGAGCTGTAGTTCAACAATGGAATCTGGGCTCTCATCCCTGCCTACCTCTCCAAAATATTGTTTAGATTTATTTTCTCCTGGGAAGAGGAGGGCCAGCAGACAGCTGGCATTTTCTTCCCACCTTGTGTTTGGCAGAAGAGAATCCGCATATGGCATGGAACTGCTACTAATCTTCGAGCCATTTGATAATCAGATTTACTCAGCAGTGAAATAAAGTCTTGACAAGAGGTGTTGCAGATGACCTCTCTTTCAGTACTATTAGTTACAGACATCATAAGCATGGAAGGTTAGCATTTTCTGTGGTGTGAAAAGAAAATGACCAGGACAGCTACACAGCGCATTTAGATAAAATAACAGAACGGATGGCACCTTATCACGTCGGATGACAAAGTCAAACAACTACCAACACCAGTGTTCAACTTGTTTTTTTGTTGCAACAGCTTGTACTTACATTTTAATATACACTCCCATTGCACAGGGCAGTCCTGTTCTACATATGTACGTGCCAAAGGAGTTCTCAAGCCAGCTACTGCAGTTTGAAGCCCCATATCCAGATGTGAACAGATGTAATTACATAAGGCAAGTGATCTGTCCGAGTGCTGAAAATGGGCTCACAGGGTGCGGGTGATCTGTCCGAGTGCTGAAAATGGGCTCACAGGGTGCGGGGGATGATGGTGAAGGGCAGGATGGGGCTGCTGGCCTCCATCTCCAAGGCGGTGAGGAAGCACTCGGTGGCGGCGTCATCGTTGCCCTGCGCCTGCAGGACCTCCCCCAGGCTGTTCCACACGTCGTGGGCCGTGGAGTTGACCTGCACCGCGTCCCGCAGGACCTTCTCCGCCAGGCTGTAGCGCCCCAGCTGGTGCAGGATCAGGCCCTGTGGAGAGGAGGGGAAGGTGTGAGTCGCACAGCAGGATCTCATGCAGGGCCAGTGTCACAAACCCTCCGCTGTTTTCCAGTATTTACGCAGAAACCATGTATTCCTGCAGAGGGCTCCTTCATGTGGCTGTTCTGATATTTGTCAGACTGATACGGGACTACAGGTCTTATTATTATTATTATTATTATTATTATTATTATTATTATTATTAGCAGCAAATTTAAATCAAGTGTTTGTGCGAGACTGGCTGTAAGAGGAAATGTGCTGTTCAATCAAGATTGCTATGCTCTACTGATTGCTTTACTAATTTGCATCACAGCTATTTTATTCCAACACTTCTGCAAAAGAACACCCCCCTAAAATTACCTAGAGGCCTAGAATTACAGATTTTAAAATCCTTACACTGAATTGGTTGTTTCCTGCTGGATGTTAAATTTCTGGAGGTCTTAACCTGACAGGGCTACAGGCTTGAGTTTGCTGATGTCGGAGAAGCTATCAATTGTGGTGACAGAACACCAGCAAACGGCAGCGCATTGGTGTCAGTACCAACGACAGGATGGACAAGATCAACCCAGATGGGGGGAGAGCTCCTCAGAGGGTCACCCAATGGGAGAAATCTTACCCTCAACAATTAGGCAGCGTGTACTGCACATTCATGGGTATATTTCATATTTTCACAGGAAGACTGTGCTATACATTCAAGTGCAAAACAAACCCACAAGAATACAAATGACAAATCCCAGGCTGCTGCTTAGCTAACCTAACCATATTTTAGGCACATGATGGCTGCATACTAGTGTTTTCAGGAGTTGGAGTCCTTCAGCAGGGACCAGCTCCTCATGCACATAGGAATAATGTTCTCGGAACACTATGTCAACTAACAGAGTTCTTCCATGACGTTTTCCATTCACTGTTGCTTCCTGTGCCCAGAGCTGCACTGTGCTTTCCCCAGGGGCTATCTGTAATTAGACCACACTTAAAACCACTGACACAGTCTGAGCCCAAGACAACAGGCCGTGGACAGGAAAAAACGAAAAAGATGAAAAAGAAACCAACATGCGCACTCAACCACTGGGGATTCTTTCCACAAAGGCAGCCACACTGTCTGCGAGAGCTCACTTAAAAAAGCAAGATCACCTTCCATTTCAGAGCAAACCCTTTTGGAAATCGGGAATTACAATGATGAGCAAACAGGGTTCTCTCCGAGAGCGCGGAGCCCATAGAGGGATCAGCTGGAGCAGTGCGCTACGTGAAGAAGCTCCCGTGCTCAAAGGAACACAAACACCGTGAGGCCGCCGCGGGTCTCCTCAGCTCCACCGCTCCCCTGCCCAGCGCCCTGTTTCTCGCCACGGCCGAGAGGCCCAGGAACAGCGCGGGCCTGCGGCCAACCGCAGCCTCGCTCTGCCAGCGTGCCAACGCCGCCTCCACTCCGCAGCGCGCTGCCTGGCAATCGCCGGCCGCCTAGCAACCCCTCCAGAGGAGCGCCGCTCACACTTTCCACCTCGCAGCGGGCTCTGCGGATTGAAAAGGAGGCACGGGCCGCTGGGGAAAAAAATAAGACACCAGCATTGCCCTCGACATTTTGAGGTTGAAAATGGACTTCAGCAGAGATACAAACAAGAGGAGGCCATCTGAGGGTCTCACCCAGGTGTCTCTTGACGAGATCAAGTAGCTGCTAATGACCAGAAGAACTAGACCGCTGAATGGCTTCCTTTCCATTGTAACTGTTCTTATGTTTATCTTTTGTGTAAAAAAAATATTCAAATATGTACAAGAAACAAGAAAAGCTTTTTTTTTTACATGAAATACTTTCTTTTCTTCTGTTAGTATGTAGAAACCATTAAGCGGCGCTAAGCCAACTTCCTTCCGATATGACATTAACGAAGGCTTTGCCAGTGACACACTGTCAGGGCAAATCGGAGTCTGAATCTGACACCTGTTTAAGACTCCCTGTGCAGCTTCTGCAAACTGATCAGGGCTTCTCAAAAGAGCCCAGAGCTTGGCAAGTCTGGAAGGTCTGTCAGGGCCAGCACAAAGATGCCTGACTTTGTAGAGACGTGTGCACTGTCTTGCAATATTGCTACCCTACCTGCTCTGCTTCAACAAAAAAAAAGTAGAAACATAATCCTCAGACTTGCCAGGCTCCCACATGCCTGTCACACAGGGAAGAAAAATCCAGAGAGAAGGAAAACACATTTGCTGAGATGCCAGAGTGCTTCAGTAACAGAAATGGCTGGAAACCAAAAAAAAAAAAAGAACAGCAAGACATCAGTGACAATACACACTGAAGATTTTATCAAGCAAAAGTAATATTCCAATAATGTAACTAAATTTCCAAATGTAACAGGGCTCCAACAGTAAAACCAGAATGACTAGGTTTCAATTAATGACTCCAGTGAGATGAGAGCAGTTACTTCTCAAGAGGGGTTTTTGTGTGTACAGGCTCTGTTAAGTAATCAGATAGGGATCTGTAACAACTGATTCATTTCTTGATCAAAAGGTTCAAGAAAGGGTTAATTATGTAAAATTTCAGCCCCTAGAAGATCAACACCACAAGCTGAGGGACAAAAGGTTAAAGCCATCAATAATTCATGGCGTGTTTTAAGTTGACTACACTTACTAGCAACTAATAATCTGAGCTGTACAACTGAAAACAGCATGCTTTTTCTAACACATTACACAAATATATATTAAATGAAACAAAACTGTCTGCTTAAACGTGTCCTTCTATTCTTCTTTCCAGTCGTATTCCTGATTCCTGAGCCAGCATGCTGAAGGCTGTAAGCAATGAAAGCCACCTTTACTGTGCTGACAGGGTGCAGAAAGGCCAGTGGAGCCCCCCACACCCTGCCTGCTCCGTACGTCCGGAAAACCCTCCCGTTGGCTCTGGGTCACCCCAGGAGGCACGTAGTCCTGTCTGAGCCTTTTTAAAGTGCGGTCACTGGTGTGTTGGGAGTTAACATTTCGCTGAGCGTCAAACCCTTCCAGAAGTGACAGGTGACCAGCGGTCTGTCAAGTCTTATTCTGAAACACGCAGGGAGCTGGGGCTGGGGAGCCAGAACAGGCGATATATGCTGATGTCGAGCACTGGGGATCGTGGCTAGAGATAAGTACAGCACTTGATGCGGAGTTTGGTAGAAAAAGGATTAAATATGCTGTGTGCTTTCAGGAACTCTGAAGAGGACCATAATCCTTTCCTGACATAAACCTTAACATATAAAAACACAGGTTTCACAAACCCATTACTTGCCTAATTAAAATATATGATTTAGATTTGCCACGATGTGCAAGAAATCTTTATTCAAAGCAAATTTTCCAGGCATGTTCTGTGACGGGGAGGATAAGCAATGCTCTGCTCTGACCGAGTCCTAAATCACCTGAACGTGACGTTAAGGGACAAGAAAGACCTATAAATTCAAGCTAAAGATTGTCTGCTAGACATTTTTATGCATTACCTTATTTATCCTAAATAATGAGATGATTGATGAGCACATGTCCCAGCACTTAAAAACACATTTTACTTTTGTCCAAGCTAAACAAGATTACCCTGAAATGTCCCTGTGTGCAGAAGCTTGGAGCAATCGGATCAATACAACTCCAGTGATCTCGCAGTGCGGTGGATATTGAAGTAATCTATTATTTTACAGGCTGCGCAATTAGGTAATAACCAAGCTCGTCATCAATTAGGAAGCACTGAACCTACACTCAACGTACAGAACTTCCACTGAAAATGACCAACCATGAAACAGCCAATGTTCATTAATTTCAAACAAGCTTTCCCCAAACAAGAGGGATAATTTCTGTAGTATTACCAAATACAAATAAGCTTTTTATGATAAAATACAGAGCAAAATTTGAAAGAAAAGGTCTTTTCCGCTAATATCTTTTCTGTGCTAAGACAAGGAAAATGTCACTGTTGGTCACAAAGATTATTCTGTAAGAATTTAATAAAGACACATTGTCTTGACATGTTCTTAGTTAACAGATATACTGTATGCAGCTGATTTATTATACCAGCTGACGGTTTGCTGTTTTTCTTTAACAGTTCACAAACTTCATCATATTCCTTATTCACTTATTATTATGCAAGATTAATTGTTTGCTTAGCACGTGTCCCTTGTGAAGTGGGACCCGCAATACAGAACTGACAATGAGTGAAAGGACAAGGAACAATCATGCTGGTAAAATTAAATAAATTCTGTATTTTTAAGGAGAGGCTGGGGTCAAGGGTGATACAGGAGATCTACAGTAGGTCGAGGTCAGAGGAGGGAGAATAATAGGAAGGGGCCTGATACAAGTATTTAAAACCCTTATAGACCTTGACAAAAACAACGCAGAGGATCTTTCTTCAGAACGAACAGTGAAATGCGAAACCAGAGAACGCAAGTGGAAACCGTGAGGGAGTGCATTTAAAGCAGGAGCAGGAGGCTCTTCTTTACACAAAGGGATGTGGGAGTCTGGAACAAGCTCCCCAGCCATGTTGTTCCAACCGATGCCCTAGTTTCTTCCAAGAAGCAGCTGGATGTGATCCTTGGTTCAATTACCCAGTATTTAGCGAGGGGCCCCAGCTGGGCCGAATGGCCTCCTCTTGTTCGTAACCCTTCCTATGTTCTCGAAAGGGTGGCTTGTGTGCGGCGAGAGAAGAGTGGGGGGCCCAGGACAGAGCCCTGGGGGACCCCGGTGTGAAAGAACCAATGAGTACAGGGCGACCCTCACCAGGGGACCTAGCAAGCGTGATCAGGGAGGCCGGAGGAGGACCAGGGGTGAGCAGAGCCAGGAGCTCCCAGCTCAGGGAGGCAGACAGGAGTCAGGTGTCAGAGGCCCAGGGAGATCAGGGCAGCCGGGCAGCCGGAGAGAGTCACTAACACAGCTGTTGCAGTTGCATGTAGGGTAACAATACCAGGCTAAAGAAGACTAGGCATCAAGTTCCTGGCACATTATTTAATTTTAATGACCAGCTCCTAAAATCGATAAACCAAAAAAACACAAGCACAAGCCACTTCATGACGGCCTCTCGGACAGAACACTTCCACTTCATCTTCAGGAGAATGGTAGTCTAGATGAGCTCAGAGAGCACAGGCTGAACGGGCATGGCACCTCATTAATGATTTACGCTGCAGGGTTCCCAGCAGCTGGGACGCGGCTTTTTTTTTTTAAGCTCATTTTCTTACCACTCTAAAGGGAACAATGCTAGGCCGATGCTGACTCAATGCCTTAACCTGGTCTAACAGCGAAGAAAATGGAATGAATTATTCATTAACCCGGGTTCGTGAGTGTAAATCTATTGGAGGAATAAGTTTGATCTCCGTGGTATGAGAATGCTGTTAAAACACAAGACAGAAAAGAACTGGAGCTACAGACAGTACTCGGAGCATCTGAGTTGTCCAGTTGTCCTGTTTTTCGCCATCTAAAAGAAATACTTCTTAAATGAAAGCTGGGGGGTTTGTAACTCTAAAGAAGAGTTGTTGTCCTTTAGGAAGAGGAAGGTTGTCAGAATGCAGGGAAAGCAAACCACTCCTGAAATGGCACTGATTTGTGCTTTTTTTTAAACAAACAGATATTTTAACCAATGAAGAAAATATTTAACATCAGACATTTCCGTACAGCACTACAAATCACCAGCACCCTGGAGCAGAGTGGCCTGGCAAGACTTATGGAAGGAGACAGAAAAACTGTCAACCATTTTGTATTAAAAGTAAAAAAAAATAGACAGGGAATCGAGAGAGTTTCTCAAAGAAGAACAGAACAAATCCCAAATAGCTGGTTGTCGTAGATGTGCTATCCCAATACTAGGCAAATAGTTGTGTCAAAAAACAATCATAACATAACACATAAAGCTAGCATTAATAATGCAAAAATCATTGTGTGAAATTTCACCGGAGGCAATCATTTGACCATTTTTAAAAACCTCCTTGGTTGGAGGGAGTTTTGGGAAGCTGGAAATGAGCCACACATTTATGGCATTTTTTTTATGCACAACTTGAATTCTGCGGTAACATCCAAAATCAACCCCTGTTACCCCCCATCTGGAAATGTTCTTGATGAGGAGAAAGCCTTACAGCAGCTAACAGTAGCTATTTCAAAACTTAAAGAGCTGTGAATTTACTTTCCTATTCCTTTTTAAATGAAAGTAATTTATTTCATTATTACTTAAAGAAGCAAGTTAAAGATGTCTTCAAAGAAAGTACTCAAAGAGGTATCTCCAACTTTAAGGAACAGTCTGAAGAAATTGGCACTAGAGAAACTCTCATGATACCTAATTAACTATGGGCAATACAATTAATGTTACATATTCATTTTTCCCCCTCCCCCCCCAAAAAAATAATTGTATCAGAAAATGCATTGTTTCAGAACTAGTTCAGTTCCTAGATTATTGGAAAATTTCACATTTTGAAGCAGGTACACCACAGAAGCGCCTGCCAATTACCTGCTCGAATACATGAGCTTGACTTCTGCGTGAACTCTCCTAATTGAGCTCTTGGATTTTGTGGGGAACCGGTTTCAGAAAGTGAACCCGCTGTTGAATATCTCTAGCTGCCAGAGAGGAGAAATTTAAGCTTTCACCCCACTTGATCCTTTGTATCATCATGACTCTCCTGGGAGGCATGAGAAACACCTGCCTGAATAATGCATGGGCCCCCTGGCTAAGCCCCTCTGACAGAACCGTCAGGTGAGATTGCAGTGATCACAGCTGCTGAGGTGGCTGCAGTGGTTAAGCACCTTCACCATGGTGAGGCAGCGATGGAGGAGGCAGGTTGCTTGGAAGTACTGAGAGCACTGGAACAAGGTTGGGGTGGATGATGCATCTCACCCTGGCGTGAAAGTCAGATAAGGCACCTCTGGACTGGCAATACAGTTTTCCATATCTGTATTGCAGATATGAAAAGCAGGACCAGGGGGAGTGTTCAAACTACAGAGGGAGCACACGCCTTAGCCAAAGTACTCTTCTCCTTGGTGTCACCATGTTAGAGAGGAGACCCCATCAATCAACCGAGTCTCAGATTCCCAGGAACAATACTGGCTCAGTCCTGGCCGAGAAGAGCTAGACTTGGGAGATGACCATACTCCTGAGAAGAATCAGCAGGAGATGCTGTGGGAGTACGAGGCGCTGGTGGGTGTGGGTTCAGGATGCTGTATCTGCACCTGAGTGGAGCTGCAGTCCTGTGATTAACACATCATTCAAAGTGTGAGGTGGACTCTGTCGAGGGTCTGTCTTGTCTCCACACCCGTACATGATTACGAGGTATGCAGGCACAGATTAGGTACTGAGGATATTCGGTCAGGAGCGTGGAGGTGAAATCCTAGCTATTTGGTAGCCCAGAGTGGGCTCTGCTTTCACTTATACGTTAAGAGGATGGCCCTACTCATGAAATGCCTGGTCGTATTCCGCATCAAGAACACGCCCATGACTGCCTTTCATTCTGGGATCTTGCACACTTAAGGAAAAGGAAATCCCTCAAAGGGGCCCTGGGCCAAACTCATCAGGAGAGCCAACCAACGTCATTTTAGCTCCGAGGAAAAAAGTAAGACTGTAGACACATGTGAACTACGTCGACTGTGTCTACAGTTACAGAGGCAGCAGGAGCTGGGGGAGAGAACTCACCAGCCTCTGCATGGTCTTGACGTGAGTGGGGCTGATGGAGAGGGCCTCCTCATACCAGCGCTTGGCTTCGTCCATGTTGCCCCGCAGCTCGGCCACCTGGCCCTTCATGAACAGCACGTTGTGGGACATGGGGAAGAGGCTGGCTGCTTCCTGGGTGCAGGCGGTCGCCTCGGTAGGCTTTCCCATGCCAATGTAGACTTCCGCTGCAATGGAAATGACGGACAGGGATTAGTGTTAAACCTCCGCAAGAGCGGACACGCGGTCTGCCTAACCCCTCCCCCTTCACGGTCACTGTCTTTCGGTGATTGGCTACTTCCCCCTTCGTTCACACGCACGAGCCCGTGCGGCAAGCAGAACAGGTACAGAAGAGAGCTCTCCTCACTCCTGGGAAGAGAGCAGCCCCACTGCACCCCTCTGCTGGTTCTGCACATTTACTTTTCAGATGACTGCCCCCCCACGAGGAAGACGACAACAAGCAAGAGAGAACTGGCTCAGCAGCAGCTTCAATGGAAATTTCTCACTGTTTATGGGATGTCAGCTTATGAAATTTGTCACTTAGACTCTGCACGCAGATAAAAATAGTTATAGAGCTGCAACCTATCAAGATTTTTTTGTTTAATGGGGGCACTGCATCCTTTCTCACAACAATTTCTATAAACAAGACAGCCAAAAAAAAAAAACTTTTCCTGATAAGAACTGGAGCTAATTTAATTAGATGTTTTGCCGCAGTCAGAATGCATAGGCATACGTGCCAAATACCACTTGTTAAGACAAAAGCAAATGCTGACAAAACAAATCTGACTGCCACATGTTAAACATGGTTAAATAAAAACAAAAAAAACACGCATTCTCAGTGAAGTGAGAAGTGAAGGCTAGTTCAAGATGTGCCCCGTAACTACAGAGGGCAACAACACCAGTACCATGCTTTGTACTTCCCATTCTTCTGCCAAACTTCCCAAAGGACAAGGCGACTTCACACTCACCACCCCCCAGAGACTAAGGTATAACCCCAGGAGGTGACAGCAGCACCTCTGCTATGTCTTCCTGGAGCCTCAGGCACTGTGAATAACCAGGGCTGGACACTCATGGCTCCTTGGACACTCGCAGGCAAGGACCAGAGGGACTGCCGGTAGACAAGGGCGGGGTGTCTCTTGAGGAGGTCGGGCCCTACCGAGCTGGAGCCGTCTCTGGGACGCGGGCCTACCTGCGTGGAGCCAGATCTGAGCCAGAGTCATCCAGGGGTGCAGGGGCCCCTGCTTGGGAGCGCTGCTCTGCAGAGAGGAGGCCACCTCCGACAGGGCCTGCTCCACGCGGGAGGCGGCGACCGAAGTAGCGTGGACAGAGCCTGGGGAGGGAGCCGACAGGGATCAGCGGAGGAACACGGCGGCCGAGCCCATCTGTTAACCCCTTCTCCACCAGGACAGGCCGGGCTACCACTGTTTGGGGCTCTGACTGGTCTGCTTGCAGGTGCCCAAGAAGAGCGGACGTGAGCGGATTATTTCAACATATAAAGGTTCCTTCTTAACCTTCAGCAACTAGCAAGAGCTTTTTCATGGGGTGACAAAATAAATCGGGCTGTTTGTGTCATTCCAATAGACTTTTCAAAGCAGAGACAGGTGATTTACGTGAACGAGGATGAGAAGAGCTGCTTGGCCCTTCTCTAAGGTTGTGACGCAGAGCCAAGACCTGTCCGGTTCAATGCTCAGCGCCTGTCTGGAGCTCACTGGCTCTATCACAGCCTGCATGTGTTTTGCTCATCTCTAAGCCCTTATTATCTGTCCTGGTAAGAGCAAGCTCATTTGCTCAGACTCTCATCTGAAAGTGCCCCCCCCTTACTCTGGTACATTCCAAGACTGCCCAGAGCCCAAAAATACTCCACATGTTCACGAACGTGAAGACCTTTAGTAAGACTTTATATTTTTTGGATGCTGTCAATTGGATGCGTTAAATGGTTATCAGAAGGCAACATTTCGCTTTCACTGATTCATTTTCTTTTTCTGCAGAGGCCCCGCGTGTGGTTTTTGTTTTTGTGCGAGCGATCACTAAATGACAAAGACGGGAATCACAAACGTCAAACATGGAGTAACGGAAAGGTCTGCAGCTTTCGTGTTTAGCCTCTGCTGGAAGGTGGCGATGCCTGATGGCTGTCTGTCCTGCTGTGTGATGAGTGGAAAAAGAGCACTATGGAGGAGGGCAGCTCTTATGCAATATACAATATGCAGAAGTGCTCAGTGTGTTACTTCTTCTTGATTAATGAAACAGCAGAACGGAAAACTGCTTAAGTCTTCCTAACAAGCTTCAAACATAACTTCAAAATAATCCAATTTTAATGTACTGCATTATATTTGCGCCCTGACTGTCTGCTGGCAATATTTCAGACCAATTTCCTGACAGGAAATGAAATGATATGAAGATAAATTCTGCAAATGAAAAATTAAGAGGAATATTTATTTTCATGTGCTAATTCTAGTTTTAAACCTAATTTGCAGGAGAAAGCTGTGCCTATGGTTTGCTTTCTTCATACCCTGTAGAGCAGCAGGATTAGCTCTGAGCAGCTTCGTCCTGTAGCTTGATGATAGTGGGTTCTGTGATGCCGTGAAGAGCTCTAAATCCTAAAGAATTCACCTCATATCAAGCAGAAGCCACTGTAGCAACACCAGCAGACTCTGGCATCTGGCAGGAGTGCCTCATCAGCATTCAGACCCATGTTCTGAGCGTGTGGCTCAGCTCCACCTGGCCCACAAACAAAGGATCCCGGGCTTTCGGTTTCAATCGAAAGAACAGATCTGAGGCGGCTCCTTCTGTTCTGCTCCGTTTTCTCTCCCCAGGTGAAGACAGCTCGTTTCACCTGAAGATCAGCTTGCAAGACCAGCACTCTTTCCCTCCTGTTTGAAAATGAGTCCTTCTGCAGACTGATGACAGTCAGCAACAGCCAGAGCTTAGCAACAGATCATGGAGAACCTCAGAGGGCTGTGTAACCTAACCTGGCTGGAAAGCGTGACACAGGAGGCAGAGCAGAAACTTTGTGTGTTTCTAGAAATGACTAGGGTAGGGTACAGACCTTCTTATGTGTCAAGAAGGACACATAAGATGTGTTACAAAATTTACAAGCAGGGTTCTCAAGATAAGTGGATTCTCTTTAACTAAGAATCCCCAGGCAAGTAATATAATTGCCATGCGTGGTTTGATGGGCTTTTAGAGTTTGAGTCCTACTCTACGCCCAAACCGTTACATCAGAGGTCATGACAAGACATATTACTGTGCAGTTACAGATGCCAGATAACAAGTGAGAGAAGTCTATAGTCAGCTGCATAAGAGCATCACAGCTACTGCCCACCAAGGAACACAAAAGTAAGGAAAGGGTTATGTGACACAGTAGGAAATGTCATAAGCAGTGTAATTTAGGTGCTCTCAATTTAGAATGCGATTTTAATTACAATTAACGACTGCACAGGAGAAGTGAAGAACAGCCCTTGCTGTCTTCCGCTTATGATGTCGGCCTCTATGTTACACAACCTCTTCACTGTCACAGCTGTATGTAAGAGCCGAGTTCATTTTTTAAACATATTACACAGTAGCCCCCAAGTGTATTCATAACCTTGATGACCCATATCTAAAAGACAACTTAGCACAGAAAATGCAGATGCACATCAAGATTTTTAAATATCTGTGAAATAAACACAACCGTATGAAAAGGACTACTGAATATATCAATAGCATAAAAAATAGCTACACATTTCAAAACACAAAATGGTCACACATATTCACATGCAGTCAACTTCCTGAAAGTAACTGCTATAAATTTAGACCTCTTGTGTTTTTAGTCCTCCGATGGCTTTGCAAGGACTCACAGGGAGAATTTCTGTAAGTCATTGTGATTGTCACTTGGTGTTAAAGGAGACTGCAAATATAAGGAAAACCCTGACAGACAACAGAGAACTGTCTGAAGATCTGTGGTAAAAGACTATCGGCCTCAGCCACTGTAGTGATAGCTTTAGAAAAACTCCTTAGACATCTGAGTTCTGACTGTAATGTTCACCTTAAAGAAGTTCAAGGCTAAGGAGATGATGGCTTCTGCACCAGGGAGAGGACGCAAAACAGATTTACCCAAATGTGAGGGAAGAATAGTGGTTTGGGAGGATGACTCACACCCAAGAGCAAGATACCGGAAGTCTTAAAAACGCTCCAGTGTCATCAGGAAATGTCTCCAAGACCACCATCATGGCTGAGCTCATGAATCTGGGGTCTGTGGCAGAGCTCCGGGGCAACATAAAGAGAAGAGACTTGGATTCACTAAATAGAAATCTATTGACTCTCCAATTCATATGCGAGCGCGTGGTGGAAATGTCGATCCTTCAGTTCAGTGGAAATGGAACAGTCCTGCTTCAGGGCTGGTTTGCATCGTCTAGTCCTGCAGTCCTAGTCAGAACTGGGGACAGACAGCTTAGAAAACTGGCCAGGATATTTCCACCACAAACCAGTGCCATCTGTCATGACAGTCAGCACTGCAATGGCTGCAAATGGATATCAGGAAAAAATATCCTGCATCAAGCTTCGTAATGGCTAATAGCCTAAAATTCAACATTCTTCACTTGTTATCGTAGCCTCTAGTAGGCCTTGATGCTGAGAGCTGAAGACAGCACATCACAAACATATCACTGCCTGAGGAGCTGCAGATGTTCGCTGTGGCAGAGTGGTCAGATGTCAGTGATCTGAGCTTAAGAACCTATTCAAAGACTACAGGACGTGCCTCCTTGAGGTTATCACTGCCAAAGAGCCCTCACAGAAGACTGACTGAATCACATTAATTATAAACGAACGTGAACAGCATGCATCTAGAAGAATATGTATCTGTTCTTCATAGAATTTTGTGTTTATACATTAAAATAATAATAATCACACAAGACTTTTGAATTGTCTCTATCACAAAACTCAATTAGTAACAGTTCTTCGAAGGAATGAATACATTTGGAGGTGACTGCACGTAAAAGGATAAAAATCTTAGTAGAAGAAGGAGCCAAGTGCTTTGAAAACAAATCAGTGCAAGCATGATGGTGCCTTTTTAAGCCCTGAAAATGTCATGCTCTGAAAAAGAAATTCAGAACTACACATACAAGAAATTGATTCTGAACTCATGCCAAAATGCACATAAATGTCTGCACACACGAATGGAAGGAAATAAACAAAGTGACTAACCAAACTACAAGCGTGATGACCTACTCAATTAAGAATGGGAGTGGGCCTACCGCACTCCTGACCCCCGAGGGTTAATGGTTTGAAATGCATATGAGCAAACATGATGCACACACATAACAAATATGAGTACACCCCAGACTTGCATGCAGATGAATGCAGGAACGCGCAGTGGCAGAACCACCATCAGAGGCACATGCAGGGAGCTAGCTTCAGTGCAGCAGGAGAGGCGCACACCGGGGATGCTTAAAGAAACAGTATTCATTCATCAGTGCCGGGTTTGTACGAACACTAACTTCATATCTCTTTCATTCCATCGACAACCAGTCATTTAACTCTCTGGCTTTTCTGTGAATATAACCTACACTTTAAGGTCTTTGAGAATAATCAAACCTATTCCACTGCAGTGCCTGAAATGGTACAAACACACTTACTCAGAAGCAAATATCTTCACGTCATCTTACCTATTTATTTAATTCAACAATCAAGCTGCATTAAAATAAAATGTGCACAAATTACATAGAAATATATCAGGATAAACCTTCCATAAAATTAGTAACTCCTCTTACGGTCTAAAAGGTAACTCTCCGTTTATAAGGCCTAGAAAAATGATACTGCCTCTTTAATATTTAATCTCCAGAGCTGGCCAGGTGCATTCAGGTCTCAGGGTACAATAGGCTTTAGGACAACAAACATAGGTAAACAGCAGCAGCCCCAATCTGACACATTAACATCAGCTACATCTACGGATGGACGTTAGCGTTGACATTCGGTGGCAGAAAGCCCATGTGGTCTCTGAGTCCAGCGGACAGCAGAGCGAGTAAAGCCAGGAGACCTCCAAGTAAGCGCTACTTACAAACTGAAAAAATGGAGTAAAAACCATGAAAGTAAGCATCTGGAGGGTTGCCTTTAAATAAATCAAAGCACAAATTAAAAAAACAAAAACCATCGGGGGGGGGGGGGGAACAAAACCAAGCAAGCAAACCAAAAGAATCGGTTTCCGCCGCTGGCGAATGGGGCAGGAGAGGCGCGGACCGCACTGGGCCCGCTTCGCTCTTCTCAGCAGCCCCCTGCCCCCTTCCAACAGCCAGCTGGGCACGGTAAACCATCTGAAACACTCGCACAGAGAAGTCGGGGCTCGTCTCCACTCGCGTACCCCCTCACACTCCGAACACGTCAGGGCAGAAGGGGCCCCTTCCGCACCGAGGAGCTCCAACCAGTCGTGTGGGTGTGCAGGGGACAGGACTGATGGCTCAGGTGGACGGGGCTCTGCTGCGGGCAGAGAAGGCCGCGCCGGGTCAGTGGCAAAGGTCACACGGCACGAGAAATTTGTCCTGACTGGTCTGGGCGGCACGGCACGGCAGCACAAGATGGTGGCGGAGCGAGATGAGGAGACGGTAAAGGGCGAGAGAATGATGGGGGGGGGGTGGGAGACGGACTGATCCTAAGGTGGGCATTCAGGACGTCCCAGATCACAGGCGTTGCTTCTTCACGTCTAACAGATGCACAGACGGGTTTATTTCTCAAGGGCAAACTGATGGCGTGGTGCGAATTCCGAGATACTGGTCTCTGTCGGCATAACATTTCCAAGAAGCATTTACGTGTGCTGTGATTAAGCTGGGGAAACGGGAGATCTAAACCCTCATCAGGTTTATCAAAGGGTGCCAGCTGATGATCCTCTCTGTAACCATACAGTAATTAGAAATTGCACCAAACTAGGGAAGCGGCTCATCATTTTTCTGGAAGAGCCCCAAAGAGCAGGAGTGGCTCTGTACCTTCCACACTGTGGGAGGTGTTTCTTCTCTGCAAGTTAACGGGAAACACGTTTGAACTGCACCCTGAGTGAGAAGCCGTGAGGATGTTTTCATCTCAGGGCAGACCCCACACATTGCTCCCTGAGCCACCAGCCCAGACAGCCAGTGCTCACCGGCGCTCTGTGGAGAAGACACACCTCCGACCGGCAAGTGCTACGTCCTACCGTTACTCTGGTGTTCACAACCCGATAGGCTGCCGGCACCGACCAAGGACAGGAAATGATTTGCAGCGCTTAAAAATAAATGCATGTCTTATGTCACTAAGGAAGGTTAGCTAATGAATGCCGGGAAACACTGCCGATATGACATGGCTCCCATGAGCTACATTTCCACACCCTTCCACTCTCGGGGTGCTGCTCTTTTACTGCTGGCAAGTGCTCTTGAAATCGGGGGGGAGAGACAGAAGGCGAGGGCACCGCTCATCGGTGAGACCAGCAGAGGACTCAAAACAATACTCCCCCGTCTAATATGGTGCACAGGGTCTTGGACGAGATGCGGTGCTATGAAAACCCATATGTCCTACAGCATGCTGCGTGCGAGGCCGTTTTAAAAGATCTCTGCTGTTAGCATAACATCTTTCTTTTCGCAATAGGCGAGGGGAAAAGAAAATGGACAATTTTGGTTCAGCTTAGCAGGTAGCCAAACCAGCCAGTTAGTGCCGCTCCCGGAGCTGTCGGCCCAGAGCGGCGCAGCGGGGGGGGGTCACCCTCGTTACTGGGCGGCATGCGCGAGAGCCGAGCGCGGCCCGGGGGCGCCCCGGCAACAGGACACGGAGTCAGCGCGGCAGCCGAGCGCGGCACGCGGGTGGACGGGACCGGCGACGCGCTTTACAGGCCGAGGACAGCCGGCGCCCCAGGGCGTGGTCGCAGAAAGCATGGCCGCCGGGCTTCGGGGGGGGCTCCGGCTTGGAGGGGGGACAGTGGTGAGAAGATACAAAGAAGTGGAGGGAAGGTTCTGATCCAGAGACAGAGGACGAGTCTGAAGCTAGAAGAAGAACAGCAACACAAACCATGAGGAAGGCAGGAAGCAAACCAAAACAAAACCAGAATCGGCGCAGGAAAAGAGGAAACACTGAAAGGCCTCGAAGGGAATACTACGAAGGAATCGGGAAAGAAATGAAAGCACACGCACAGAATTTTTTTTAAAAAAAGAGCGATGCCAGATGCCTGCGGTGAATAACACGTCACAGAAATGACTCTCGGGTCTCCTGTTCTCAACTCCTGGGGGGGAAGGGGAGGACAGGTAACAGCCGGAGCTGGGGGAGCTGCCTGGGTCCTGCAGGCCTTCTGTCGTGCTCCACTGCTCCGGCCCTGCCCTGGAAGGGGTGCCAGGGGGGAGCAGCAGGAACAATGAAGGAGCAGCGGATCTGAAGGTCTCATCTGCGCCCCACGATCCTCCTTCATGTTACCACAGTAATTCTCAGCCTTAATGGCGCATCACTTTAATGAAAATGTGACACTAGGGAGCTGTATTTTTCTGTTGACATTTACGCACACGCAATAAAAAAAACAACAACACATCAGCAAACAAAATGCTTAAGGCCAATTAAAGTGCTATTAGAACGATTTACTTCTATAAAAGGAGGAGACTATCTGCTGGAGCTTTTGAAATGGATATTAAGAAAGAGACGATTTCAACGGTGAAAACAGTATTTTTTCCTTGGGCTTAAGGAAAGCAAAATGTGTTGAAGTTGTTGTCCAGCTGGGCAAGTTTGGGTCCGCTGTTTATTTGATTTTAAGACGTTTTTTGTTAAAGAAACATAATCATTGCAATCCCCCCAAAAACCCAGACTTCTCCCAGTCCGAATTCACAATCCCTTGGTTCTGAATCACGGTTAATATATCAACCCAGCTACCCAGCAAGGCAAGAACATCCAGAATTAGGCCCAGCACTATGCAGAAAGCCCATTAAAACCCAGGCACCCTTCAATTTACTGAAGAACACAGACAGGGCCAGAGGATCTGTGTGTGGGAGGTGCTGCTGCAGTGAACCCTTGGTCCATGGCTGATGACTGCTGAGCAGAGTCTTCGTGGGGGGAGGCTCTTCCTCAGTGGCTGCTGTGCCGGACGTATGAGGCTGAAAGAAAGCCCTGAGGGATGTCCGGAAGGTGCTCTTCCTCTTTGACCGGTACCATCAATAAATCCTGTCCAATTTATCATCTTGCTCTTCCCCACCTCACAGCCTTCATTCACCTGACTCTGGTGTCCTCTCTGTCCCCCGAGCCCGTCTACATACTGTGGGTGATAGAGCCTTCTCTTGCAATGCCTCAGAGCTCTGGAATTCTCTCCCCAAGGATATCGGAGTGTCACCTTCCCTGAGCTCTTTCAAATCCAGACTCAAAATGCTCTTATTCAGGAAGGCAGGAAGCCTTTTACTTTACTGATGTCTGTGTCTGCCCCTTTGCAACTTCTACCACATTTAAAACTAGTTTTTTATTGTCCTAACTCTTTTAATTCCTATCATTTTGTTTTCTTTAATGTAATGCACTTTGAGAAGCTACTTTAAAATGTGCTCTATAAAGTTTATTATATCATCATCAAAGGCACTCTCTGTCAGGCAAGAACAGTTTAATGTGGCGCTCTATACTTGGGCCGTCTTCTTCAGGAATGTCCACAGCTTTTTAGGTCAAGCTGAACATCTTTGGGAGGTGGGTTTCTTCACTGAACACAGTCATAAAACTGTTAAAACAAAAACTGACCGCCGTTCGATTACCGCTGGAAGTATTCTGTAACATTGTTGCAGATGACTTTAGACTCTAAAAAACTGGACGTATTCCAAAACTCTGTCACAGAGGACGCATCTTCCCAGGAGAGACCTACTTGACCTCATGTCATTCAAATCCCCATTAACGTGAAAAGGGCTGACTTTGTTAACCAGATTTCTCATTTTTCAAACTCCATTAATGCAGAATTCTGCAAAACAACTGTTTTGTAAATTGAGGATGCCTGCATCTTAATTTTTGCATTTTGTAAGAGCTAGGGACAGGAACCCGCCATCCCGTACTGGATAAAGGGGTTTGAGAATGAACTATGAATACCAGTGTTACACGATAAACCTGCATGTTAGCATCAGTAACACAGGTACAGTTTCTCTAGTGGTTTCCACTGTCAGGGCTGCTTCTTACCTGTTTCTGGGTCACTGAAATCGGGCAGCGTCATAGTGTTGAGCTGCCTCCTGTCTGCAATGGCTCTGTCCAACAGACTGCTCCCCCGGCCTGAGTCACTGCAACACAGCACAGAGGGACGGGGCTCGGTCACACACAGGAGACGTTCGTCACGGCAATGATCAACAAAACAGTACTGTTGGTGGATCCCTTACAGAATTTTTTTAAACTTTCATTAATGACTGCGTTTCAGTTACTGTCAGCGAGCTCTGCCAAGGATTTCCAAGATGATAAGAGTCAGAGAACGTCACCTGATTATTAGATCAAATAATCCTAAAAACACTAAAAGCACACATTACCTCTGGCTTTGCTTGGTGTACCAGTCCTGGTGCTGGAAGTGATAAATCAAACTTTTGAACCAAGCAATCATTTCATATCTCAGAGTTACTACGCGATGGTAGGCAGGTATTTCAATGAATAAAATTTAAAAAACAAACAATCACTTCTACAAGAGCTAATACATGACAAATGTGTAACCAAAACCTCACATTGGAATGCAGCAGAAAAGCATTTTTGTTAGATCCATGATCGCTATAATCTAACTAACAGCACGCACTGTTATAAAGGCAAGTCCTAATTTTTGCCTTTTGACATGCTTATTAGATCAGACTATCTACCTGGGCTTTCAGTGAAGGAAATGAACACACAGAGACAACGCAGCCAAGAAGGAAGGAAACCCAAGTCATAAGGAAGGTCCGCTGAAGCCTAGTTG